TTCTTTCTTTCTTTCTTTCTTTCTTTCTTTCTTTCTTTCTTTCTTTCGCTTTCTTCCCTTCCTTCCCTCTTTCTCCTTCCTTCCTTCCTTCCTTCCTTCCTTCCTTCTTTCTTTCTTTCTTTCTTTCTTTCTTTCTTTCTTTCTTTCTTTCTTCCTTTCTTTCTTTCATTAGTTCAGTTTACATCCCAATCGTATCCTCTCCCCCCTCTTCTCCCAGTGCCACCCTACTTCCATCTTCCCCTTATCTTCTCCCCATCAAAATAGGGGAGTCTCCCCCTACCTGCCTATTCTAGCACTCAAGTTTTATCAGGACCAAGCAAAGTGGCCTGGCAAGGCGGCCTCATGAGGGGGAAGTGATTAAAAAGCATGTAGGAGAGTCCTTGTCAGAAACAGCCCCCACTCTCCTTACTAGGGAACCCACATGAAGACCGAGACCATCTGGTATACATGTGTAGGGAACGTAGGTCCAGTCCATACATGGTCCTTGGTTGGTGTTTCAGTCTACACAAGCTCCCCTGGTCCCAGGTTAATTGGCTATGTTAGTGGTCTTTTTCCCTCTAGGTCCTTCAATCCTTCCTACCACTTTTCCACAAGGCTCCCTTGCACTTTCCCTGATGTTTGGCTGTGAGTCTCAGCATCTGTTTTGATCCATTGCAGAGTGGGGCTTCTTAGAGGACAGGTATGTTAGGCTCCCATTTGCAAGCAAAGCACAGTGTAACTAATAGTGTCAGGAGTTGGCTCACTCCCATGGTGTGGCCAGGCATTGGTTGGACATTCCCTCAATCTTTATTCTATGTTTATCCCCACACATCTTGTAGGCAGGGTAAATTTTGGGTTGAAGTTTTTGTGGGTAGGTTGCTGTTCCCTTCCCTTTAAAAAGATCACAGGATCCTTTCACAGGATCGTTTGTTCAAACTGATAGTACCTTATGGATCTTTGTATTTATGTCTAGCAAAAAATTTAAGATTTTCCCTCCTGAAACCTTATTCTTAAACTTAAGCTTTTTGTGTGTGCACTAGCAGATGTTAAACTTTACTGTTTTCCTTGTCTGCCTGA